GAGTGCGCATTGAAATAACGAAAGAGGTCAGCCGGAAACGAAAGAATATATATATAAACAAAAAAACATGGACAAATTACGCGAGAAAGAGAGGAAGGAATGCTGAATTGTTTTATCATATTTAAGCTGCAGCACGGCAGAGAATGATCTGTAGTTTCCCGACAAAAGAAGAGGTGAGAAGATGTTCTAAATACAGATGACGAGAATAACATAGCCAGACTATATGTTCAATGAGGAAGTGGTAAACAAAACAGGAACAGATCGGACAATTACAGTTAAAATCAGAATAGACAAGAACAGTCTATCCTCGATGATTAAATAAAGTGTTCTGTTCAGAATTTCTTTTAAGCTACCCCACATTGTTATACACCTAAGGAAGACTGTTGGAATATAAATAAATAGTGTAAATTAGTTTCCTATAATTGCAGCTAAATTATTCCTAAATTTCATCATCGAACCTTCAGATGTCATCAGTTCCTTTCCCCGTATCTACATGAAGGAGGGGCAAAACTTGCGTAACTTCGGTATTGAAATAAAAAAGCCTTAGAGCTGATTAATAAGTTTATTTAAAGAAATACAAATAGTTCCAACATACAAATACAAACCGGAAAGAAGCATTTTATTCGACATGTCCTCCTTGTTTCTCAATAACTGGCTCTACAGACCTCCTGAAACTTTTACAACTCTTCTCCAAAAAACTATCCTTGAAACAGTCTGTGGATTATCATATGCGTTTATCAAATCATACAACCTTCGACGTTTGCTTTTCTCACCACTCATCTTTTACACAATTATCTGAAAAAATTGTGGGTAATTATTATGCAAGTTTATGAGAATAAAAGGCACCAGGTTTCATAAAATTAGTTGGAATGCTTCATGTGAAAAACAAGTAAAAATTGTAGTGTAAATTTTGCCTCACCACACTGTATTTTTACTATATAACCATTCATTCTAGCCTTAATAGTACGTCTGAGGATTTGGATCGTGATTACGATTCCAATGTAATAAAGTATAACCATGTAATATTAGTGTTTGAGCCTTTATAGTATATCATATTATATATACATATACATACACAGTGGAGTAATGGATATCGGCTTGGATTGAGGAATCGAAGAGCCGAGTTCGAATTCCAGTCGAATCCATTACATTCACTTACGTGTTAATACCCTTGGGAAAGGTGTAAATCCTCTTCTTCTCCCTCCAACTATGGGTAAATAGCAGGACAGACTGGGTTCTATAGCCTTGGATGGCAACTGGTCTAGGAGAAGGACAACTCTGAATTCAAAACCTGCAGAGGGCCGTTAGGGAACCTTGTGGCATTCGGTGCACCAGGTCTCTGTATTCGTCCCATCAAAAAGTGTGGATGATCCTGCACGTGGCCTTCACCACTATAATCAAATCTCATGTGCCGGTGTCGTGCTGTCGGTTTCCTGGAAACTGATCTGCTTGACCCTCATACGTCGAATTTCGACGGGAGAGTCGACTATATATATATATATATATATATTATGAAATGGACAAAGTCCGGCAATTATTTTAAGACATTTTTTTTAATAGATACAAATATTTAAGTAAACATAAAAACATAAAAAATCTTAAATTTTTTTTCATTCCACCTTTTGAAAGTGAAGTCTGAAGATCCAGAGAAAAATAAAATTCTCTGGTGAAATAAATTATAACAAAATGGAGTCTTAAAGTGGTCTGTTTTTCTTTAAAATTAAAATTATATATATATATATATATATATATATATATATATATATATATATATATGAAGCAGCCAATAAAGATGCAATTGTCAAGATGCAGAAAATATAGTGACAACACATATTGAGTGCTACGAGGGATGGGGTGAAATGGAATACGGCACCTAAAGGAAAAAGTGTATTTATACAAAACATGCATTTTTTCCTTTCTCCCCCCTCTTTACTTTTTCTTTTTCTCTTCTACCAGTGACATGATTGCGTATCCAGATTTATACATTCTTTTTATTCATACAAATGTCTTAAAATAATTGTCGGACTTGTCCATTTCATAATGTGTCACGACATTTGTTTACATTTGATACGCCATGTGCATATATGAATGTACGTGAGAGATTCATGGAAGATGGAATTTTAAAGACAGTAAATTCGACCTTGCTCACCGAACGCTCCTCTGTGGCCAAATCGGTTAAAAGCACGTCAAGCTAAATGACGGTTCCGTATAGGATAAATGTTCGGATACTGTCGGAGGACGAATATTTTCTGTGAAAATTTCTCGGACATTCAGGACGGTAAATGTTGTTTAATATTGTTTATTATAAACAGAACATTTATTTAAATATTTGTATCTATAAAAAGAAAGTATAATCATAAAAATGACTTTATATATATTAAGACATTTTATGTTTATACATTTTTAGAATCAAAAATATAAAAAAATATAGAAAAATAAAGAAATATTCAAAAAATTTTTTTTTATATTTTTTGAATATTTGAATATTTTTTTATTTTTTTATATTTTTTATATTTTTTGAATATTTGAATATTTTTTATTTTTTATATTTTTTTGAATATTTGAATATTTAATTTTTTTATTTTTTGATATTCTTTTGAATATTTGAATATTTTATTTTTATATTTGTAATATTTTGGAATATTTGAATATTTTTTCATATATTTTATATTTTTTGAATATTTGAATATTTTTATATTTTTTATAATTTTTTGAATAATTGAATATTTTTATTATATTTTTATATTTTTTTTAATATTTGAATATTTTAATTTTTTTTTCGTATTTTTTATATTATTTGAATATTTTTATTATTTTATATTTTTTATATTCTTGAATATTTTTAAATAAAAATATTCAAAAACTATTTCTAAAAAAAAAAAAATATTCAAAAATATAAAAAAATTTAAAAAATACTCAAATATTCAAAAATACGAAAATATAAAAATAAAAATATTCAAAAAATTTTTCATTTTTTATATTTTTATATGTTTTTGAATATATGAATATTTTTTTATTTTTTATATTTTAAAATATTTTTTAAATAAAAATATCCAGATTATATAAAATATAAAAAAATATTAAAATTATATAAAATACATGTCATCGTCTGTTTTCTTAATTCTTGTTCTTTTATTTTTCTCGCTCCTTAATAGTATTTTTATTTTCTTTAACTCTCAGTAACACCTTTGCTTCTTAGTGGCTTCATTGCTTTGCTTGGCGTGAAATAATTAAAAGGAATCTCATATTATTTTAAAGTTTTGTTTCCTCATGAAATTTAATGCAGATGTTATCTTTTTCGTATTTAATTTACAAAACATTAGCGTAAAAATATTGATAAATAACTTTTTTTTTTATTTGACTACTGTTGTGGATTCCATGAACGGAATCCTGCACAAATAAATAAATGACGCCGGTAACTGAGATAGAAAAATAAGTGTATTAAACGTAAGAATACAGACTTGAAGTGAAGATTAGTAGTCCAGGAATGCGGGTTAGTAGAAAGTATATGTACACGTCTCTGTAAGTAAAGGCGTAATCATCTCTCTCTCTCTCTCTCTCTCTCTCTCTCTCTCTCTCTCTGGACTTTTGTATAATTCTCTGAGAACACCCTGTCTGTCTCCGTATCTCTCAACCTGTCTCAACGTATCTCAACGTATCTCCACGTGTCTCAACGTATCTCAGTATTTAATATCCCACCCACGAGGAATATTTGTGGCACAAGGCCGAGTTTAAAGGGGCTTTCTCCGAGCCCCTAGTCTCAGCCAAAAAATATACCCTTTGAACCCGCCTAGACGGGTTCAGGGCCTGTCTACCTCCCCGGTATAAGTATACTTTGGACGAGTCTATCTTATGTAAAAAGGGGAGACCCCCACAACAACTACATTTTGTTACTCTCGCAAAGTGGGAAGAACTTTTTCAGGATATTTTTTCAAGCTTATCAGCTTTTTACTCCAATCTTGAACAGTTCTATTTAGGTTTAACGTTTGGGATATTTAATTGAATTCTGTAACAAACTTGGCCCTGATCTGGCATCTCGTCTACAGTCGCTCTCTCACAGACGTGCCGTCGCCTCCCTCTGTCTTTTTTTACAAATATTTTCATGGTAACTGCTCCGATGAGCTGCTTTTGTTGGTTCCTAAACTTCATGAATTTAAGCATTCGACTAGGTTAGTATCTTGCTCTCATCATTTCACTGTCGAAACTGTTAAATGTAGCCGGGCAGAATTACCTCCTCTTTTTTCCGGTTTCCCTGATAGCTATAATCTCCAACTATTCAAATGTACATTATTTACATTATTCGGACTAATGTCCTCATCTTTGTCGCCATATTTATCACAACGTTTCGGCCGTTATACGCTCCGGCCTTCTTCAGGTGGCTGAAATGTAATGTCAATCGACGTCTCCAGACGCCTTGAACTATCCTCTATCCTTCTCTTCATCCTTTTCTTTATCACTCCTATTTGCTCTTGTTCCATCTCTATGTAATCCCTTGCATGCTAGTGGCTTCACACCTTGCTGGGGTTGAAACGCTTAAAAAAACAACAGTATATTATAGCTGGGGAGTGTATTTGTTAACTGTTATGGTCGGTTCCTTGTACCCCGGGTGATAGTCCAAGGTAGAACCAATAAAGAAGAACTCGAACACGGATATGGAATAACACAGATATATTACAAACAGGAATATATACAGAGAAGTAGAAAGTGTTAGTACGAACAATCAGGTTTAGTACAGAGAACAATGTAGTCTCGACCAGTATCACTATTCCAATGTCTTGCAGTAATTGTCTGAACGCGACTCTGGTTTGGACTGCCTCTGACTCGACTGACTGACTCGCTCTGACTGACTGTCAGACTCCTGCCGGACTTCACTCCAGACTTCAGACTGAACTCCAGACTTCAAACGGAACTCTCTGCTTCCTCTTTAGGCGCAGTATTTATTACGTATGGAATAGTCCATTACGTTATTATGGGTAAGGTCCCATAACACTATCAATCAGTCTGTTCATGTCTATCTCAGTCTGTTCATATCTATCTATCTATCTATCTATCTATCTGTTATGGTCCGGTTCCTTGTACTACGGTGATAATCCAACGTAGAACCAATAAAGAAAGAATGCGAACACGGGTATGGAATAACACAGATATATTATAAATAGGAATATATACAGAGAAGTAGAAAGTGTTAGTACGAACAATCAGGTTTAGTAGTAATTGTCTGAACGCGATTCTGTTTCGGTCTGCCTCTTACTCGACTGACTGAGTCGCTAGCTCTGACTGACTGACAGACTCCTGACGGACTTCACTCCAGACTTCAGACTGAACTCCTAATTCCCTGCTTCCTCTTGAGGCGCAGTATTTATTACGTATGGAATAGTCCATTATGTTATTATGGGTAAGGTCCCGTAACATTAACCATCAGCCAGAGTTAGAGAATTCAGGCCATTTTGACAGACTCCATTGAATCATAGTTCTTATCACGCTTGATAACCATCTGCTTCTTCTACTCCAGGTCTTCTCATTTTTACTACCATAATTACACATCATCATAACCTTATGAATTTAAGAGTTCAACTAGGCTGGCATCTCGCTCTCAACCTTTCACTGTTCAAACTGTTAAATGTAGCCATCTCCTCTACTCCAATAGCTTCATGTCTCGCACTTCTTGCCTGTAGAAGTCCCCCTCTTCCTGCTTCCCTGATAGCGATAATCTCCAACTATGAAATGTAATGTCAATCGACGTCTCCAGATGCCTTGATCTATCCCCTATCCTTCTCTTCATCCTTTCCTATATCACGCCTCTTTACTCTTGCTCCAAATCTCTGTAACCCCTTGCGTGCTAGTGGCTTCCCGTCTTGCTTGGCGTGAAACGCCTTAAAAAAGTACTTTTTTTAAAATAATTTCGCTCCAAGAAATGCGGGAATGTTACTTATACGCCGCTAGTTGCACCTGCGTATTAGTAACACAGAGAGCGAAAGTAAGAGATAAGCCTGGATAAAGGGCGATTTAGTTGAAACCCACGGAGCCAGGTTGTAACGCAAGGTCGGTTTAACGTGGGAAACATCGAACGCGTACAACTCGGGCTAAGGACAAAAATTCCGCGAGCCTCTTTAACCGTCGGTGGCGCTGGTCTCGGTCCAACTCTCGTGTCATAAGAGGGTGCATCCTCGCGCGTCTGTTTACCAGGACTGGGAACCTCACTGCATGATCTTCCTCAGTTGGGCCTTTGTCCTCCGACCGAGCCGCATCTGTGTCGCACATGGACGGGATTTAAGAAGATAGAAGATGGTGATTGACGTTGCGTTTAAATTTTTGAAGATTCGTCACAAGTCGATCATACATCATGATCATATTCTTCTTCTTTTTCTTCTTCTGATAATTAATTCTTCTTCTTCCCCCTTCATATTTACGCCCATCTTCTTCTTCTTCTTCTTCTTCTTCTTCTTCTTCTTCTCCCCTTCATATCTACGCCTATTTTTATTTCTTCTTCTTCTTCTTCTTCTTCTTCTTATCTACCCCTATTTTTATTTCTTCTTCTTCTTCTTCTTCTTCTTCTTCTTCTTCTTCTTCTTCTTCTTCTTCCCCCCCTTCATATCTACGCCTATTTTTATTTCTTCTTCTTCTTCTTCTTCTTCTTCTTATCTACGCCTATCTCTTCTTCTTCATCATCATTCATTCATTCAAGTCTTCTTCCTCCCTTTCATATTTACACAGATTTTCATACTTTCAATTTCTTCCTCTTCTTCAGGGAATCAAGTAAACGGAAGGGAGTTCCACAGGCCAGAAGTGCGAGAATAACTGATTATCAGGAAGGGACAAAATCTGAACCGTATTCAAGAAGATAGAAGATGGACGTTGTATTTACATTTTGGAGATTGTAGTTATCAGAGAAGCAACAAGCTACCGAGAGTAAAAGTGAGAGATAAGACTGGGTATATGGCGATTTAGTTGAAACACATGGAGCCAGGTTGTGACACAAGGTGAGTTTAACGTGGGGAACTCGAGTGTCATTAGAGGGTGCAGCCTCGCGCGTCTGTTCTCCAGGATTGGGAACCTCACTGTATGATCCACCTCAGTTGCGCCCTTGTCCTCCGACGGAGCCGCATCTGTGTCGCACTCTGCTCAAAGAACAGAGAAGAGAGATGATTTGAGAAAAGGACAAAATATGGACGGGATTTAGAAAGATAGAAGATGGTGGTTGACGTTGCGTTTAAATTTTTTAAGATTGTATTTATCAGGGAAGCGAGTAATTGGAAGGGATCTCTACAGTCGGTAAGTGCGAGAATAACCGATTATAAGGAAGAATTCAGGAAAGGACAAAAGATATCCAGCATTCAAGAAGATAGAAGACAGAGGTTGACGTTGCATTTAAATTTTTGAAGATTTTTGTTATCAGGGAAGCAAGGAAACAGACGGGTATTCCACAGACAGAAAAACAAGAAAAGAAACTGTATAAATGGAGGTCAAAGTTTCCTATTTCGAGAGGAAAAGGGTGGCACCTAGATGCGAATCTAGTAGCCCGCTTAAATTCAATTCGTCGGGGCACCAGGAAAAAATCTTGTCAGAATAGTTGCCATTGAAAATATTTGGAGAAAAGTCAGTGGGAAGTCACGTCATGTCGGTGAGAAAGTGACTGAAGTCGAGATGCCAAGTAAGGATTGTTTACATTGAAGATACGTTTTTGGGGATTTTGCCAAGAATCTGGAGATGAGTAGCAGAAGCACTAGACCAGATATAGCAACAATATTCATTACAATTACGATTAATGCTCTAGGTCTTGAAAAAAGCTAGTCCGAGCAGTTGCCATGAAAGTACTTTTCCGAGTGAAGATACGTCACGTCGGTGAGAAAGTGAGTGAAGTCTAGATGCCAAGTCATGATCGTTTACAGTGCAGATGCTTCTTTGGATTTTGCCAAGAACCTGGAAATGAGTAGCAGAAGCACTTGACCAGATATGGCAACAGTATTCAATGCACAGACGATTAGTAGATTTGTAAATGTATTCTGACGTGAGAAGATATTGCTAAAAAAAAGAAAAAAAATATTACCAACACAGGATCGGATTGCGAGTGAAGTTGCCTTACACTTGTGAAAGGTATAGATCTATTAGTCCCTGTGCGGAATCCTGTTGTCATATACATTGACAGGGTTAATTGATTAAAAATATCGTATTCTTCATCCATTTTTTTTTCTTCTTTTGACTTTCTTTATTTCCATAATTTCTTACCCCAGATGTTATTCGACATCTTTTTTTCTTCTTTATTTTAATTTTTTCCCTATTTTTCCTTCAATTCTTTGCCCTTTCTTCATTTTCATACTTTTTTATGGTTCAGTCCATTTCAAATATCTTTAATCATTATTCTTATATTTATTCTTCATTTTATTCTTCATTTACCGTCTGTATTTTTTTCCTGCCTTTTCCTCGACTTTTAATAGTTACTATTCCTTCTTCTTTGTTTCTTTTGTTTCATTCTCCCTCTCCTCTGGGGAGGTATTTTGGTTGACGGGGACGATTCTGTTATGGGAACTTACCCATAATAATAATGGACTATTCCTGACATTATAAATACTGCGCCTCTCAATAGGTATGAGAAGATTGTCAGACGAGGAGAGATAATTGAGAGCATATTGTAAGGACATTGGAATAGTGATACTTGTCGAGACAACTTAGTTCACACTAACCAAATCTGATAGTCATTACTAATACTTCTACTTCTTTGTATTATATTTCTGTTGTAATATATCTTTGTATTCCATACCTGTGTTTGTGTTATTCTTTCATTGGTTCTAACCTTGGACCATCAACGTGGTACAAGGAACTTGGACCAGCACCGTGCTACAAGGAACTTGGACCAGCACCGTGCTACAAGGAACTTGGACCAGCACCGTTCTACAAGGAACTTGGACCATAACAGATTCCATAACGAAGCTGTATTCTTCTCTCTCAGCCATCTTCTCCCGGTCGACATTTTTCAGGATTCGGAATGTTGTATTGCACCCTTTCTTTCGTGGTTTTCTTGGGGCTATACGGTCTTGATTCACTCATAGATATTTTGGTTGGCTTGTTCTGAGGTAAAATGAGAACTTCAACAAAAGGGATTTTAAACTTACCTATATTATTACACACGTCGACGTGTATATCTTTGAGCTAACCGGTGGGGTCTCTCTGTCACCCCCACTGGGGAGCAAGTTCTTCGAGACACGAAATAACCACGTCTAATGTGCATGACGTGTAAAACTTAAATCCGTGAAAACACTTTCTTTTTTTTTCTTTTTTTTTAAGCGTTTCACCCCAAGCAAGGCGGGAATCCACTAGGATGCAAGGGGTTACAGAAGATTTGGAGCAAGATCAGATAGAAGTGATAGAGGAAAGGATGAGGAGAAGGGTAGTGGATAGATCAAAGCAACTGGAGATATCGATTGACATTACATTTGAATAGTTGGAGATTATAGCTCTCAAGGAAACTGGAATAGGGAAGAGAGTTCCAAAAGGCGAGAGGTGCGAGACATGAAGCAATTAGAGCAGAAGAGACAGCTACATTTAGTAATTTCGACAGTGAAAGGGTGAGATCGGGATGCCAGCTTCGGAGGGCGCTTGAATTCATGAAGTCTAGGAACCAGCGAATGCAGATCCTCGGAGCAACTACCATGAAAGTATTTGTAAAACAGACAGAGAGATGCGTCGGCGCGTCTGTGAGAGAGCGACTGTTGACGAGATGCCAGAACATGGCCAATTATATTGCATATCCACCTCTGGAGCTTATCAAGAACCTCGAGGAAAACAGAAGGGGCTCCAGACCATATATGGCAGCAATATTCCATGCAAGGGCGAATTGTTGATTTGTAGATCTGAAGGATCGACTCCGGCGAGAAAAAATTTCCTAGCGCGGCACAAGGAGCCAACTTTCCTTGCGGTGGACGAAGCAATTGACTCAATGTATTTGTTCCATCTCAGGTCAGCAGTCAACGTGAGACCGACAGCCGCAGAGAGTTGCTCTCGAGAAGTTGAGCGTCAAATATTCTAATGGAGGGCAGGGAAGGATCTCTGTGGTGATTAATAGGGAGCAGTTTTGTCTTCGAAGCGTTGAAGTTGACCAGCCAATTCATGCCCCAGTTCACAGCCGATTGGAGGTTCTTTTCGAGACGCACGGCCAGGTTAGTTTTGACAGTGACACTAGATTTGTTGTTGAAGCAGGAATAAATGGTGGTGTAATCCGTGTAGATGCCAACTTGGGAGTTTATGGCGTCAGGGGGGTCATTTATATAGATAAGGAATAGAGTGGTCCCTAGGATGGAGCCTTGCGGAACACCTGCGTTCGTGGGATAGGAACTGGAGGAGAATCCGTTGAGAACGACCTTCAATTCACGGTTTGACAGGAATGATTGTATTAGGTCAAACAATCGACCCGTAATGCCATAACCATGGAGCTTGCGAAGAAGGCCGGAATGCCAAACCCTATCAAACGCTTTGGAGATGTCTAGGGCCACGGCTCGGGCTTCCCCGTTATTTTGAAGAGCTTGGTAGACAGTTTCAGTGATGGCCGTAAGCACATCAGCTGTAGATTGAGTAAAGCGGAAGCCATATTGCTTGTCTGAGAGCAGATCATGGGATGTAAGGTGGTTAACCACTTCGGTATTGATTAGGGCTTTGAAGACTTTGCCAAAGAGAGTTAGGAGATTGATAGGACAGTAATTAGAAGGGTCAGAGTTCTTGAAGACAGGAACAATCGAAGAGGACTTCCAGCAGTCAGGAAAACAAGATTCCTTGAGGCAGTAGTTATATAGTTTAGAGAGGGCGGGCGCCAGTTCAGGCGCGCATTTTTTCAAGACAATGGCTGGTATTCCATCCCCACCACTAGCCTTGTTGGGCTCTAAATTGGAGATAATGCCCAATACCAAAGACGGGGTTATGTATAACCCACTCAATAGGGCCTCAGTTCTAAGAAGGAAGTCGAGTATGGGTACACCGGAAGAGTCGAGCGTTGAGTTGAATGAAAATCTCCGAGCAAAGCATTCAGCCTTGTCGGCAGAGGTCAGGACTTCGAATTCTTTGAACGAAGGAGGTATAGAGGGTTTGCAATTGTTCAATACGCTCTTGCAGAGACGCCAATAATCTTTGGAGCCAAATTTGCGAGATGCAAATATTGACTTAGCTTCATTGAGGACACGTTTACACTCATTACGGGCGGAGGCAAAGAGACGTCTATTGCAGTCAGACATGTCGCTACGAAATAAGTGAAATAAGTTGTTCCTATGGGCAATGGCGGCTGAGCAAGCAGCGGAAAACAAGGAGGAGGATCGCGGAGGAGGAGCGCGACTTGACCCTATCTTTCCTTGGCGGGATGAAAGCGTCGATTCCAGCTTTAACCCAGGATGAGACCTCAGAAGCAAATTCTTGGACGGGGAGCGTAAAGACAACATCCCTGGGGACATCGCGGAGGAAATCACGGAACGAGTCCCAGTCAGCTCGTTGATAGTAGAACGAAGTTCTAGTGGTAGAAGCTTCTTTGCAGGGGGGTGGAGTTGTAAGAGATGTTAACAGATACTACCGCATGATCAGAGTTACCAAGAGGGCAGAGTTGCGTTGCGCTACAAGACTCGGGGATGGAGGTAAAACACAGATCGAGAAGAGAGGCCTTACCTTGCCGGTTGAAGGCAAAATGAGTGGGGAAGTCAACTATCTGCGTGAGGGATTGAGAAACTGAAAAATTAAATGTTTGAATGCCTGCGTGGTCAGTAGTAGCATCCTTAAGCCACTTGGTATGATGGGCGTTAAAGTCGCCAAACACAAATATGTGAGCAAACGGGTGGATGGAGATATCCTTGTCTATGCTGTCAGAAATGCTATCGAGTATCCCACAGTCTTGAGAGGATGGAGAGCGGTAAAGGAAGAAGAGATAGCTTACCGTATTGAGAAGAGATATTCGGAGACACATGTACGACTGGTCTGGCGATTCGAGAGACAACTCTCTGGCCAAAGGGAGATGGTCCTTGACGTAGACACCAAGGCCGTTCATGTGGGTTAGAGAGTCTTTTCTGAGGAGAGGAATGTAAACTGGGATCGTGAGATCAAAGGAGGTGACAGACGAGACAAGGTTGGTCTCACAGAGAGCCAGTATATCCGGGCAGTTTGCAGTGAGGAAAGATTCCATACTGCAGAAGTTTGTTCTAATGCCATGGATGTTGGAGAACGAAATGTTGAGGGGTTTAGGTAATTTTTAAGTGGCTGGTTTAGGAATATTTTTTCGGTCTTTGTAAGTCATCATGTTGAATTATGGTTGGAAGATGAGAATGCCCGAAGTAAAAGAAGCAGATAGTTATCGACCGTGACGTGGGCAGAGAGGAGTTGGCACAGCCTGCATCATAATGTGACCTCAGCGTTTCCCACCGGAGGTGACTGCAGGGACACCTTTCCATGCGCGACATGGCACAACAAACACCCCGCTATTATACAACGGTTGATCAGAGCGGCCGCTCAAGACGCTACGCAAAAGTTAGGGCTCTTAACTATCAGTCGGAAAACTCAACCAAAAAAGTGTCAACCGTGTACCCTCAGAATGAAAAGGCAATGCCACAGACTGCACACATCATGGGAGAGACAGAGCTGCACTAGTACAGAGGCCAGAGAGAGAGAGAGAGAGAGAGCACCGGGAACCCCTTCCTAAACAAGAAACAAGGCGTGAGCCTCTACTCATGTCCAAGAGAAGTGGGAGGAGTGTTGACCGGAAAGTAGTAAAGCCTAGCTACTCCTATTACATATAACACATACAAGGACGACAAAAACAAAGGGAAGGATTAGAGAGGGAGATAATTGGCAAAGTGTCCAGGCTGACACTTGGATTTTACACTTTCACAACACTAAGTTTTAACTTAGTGTAAGTCCCATTGTCCTATGCTAAAAAAAGAAATTGAAGAAAATAAGGTTATCCGGCTTTGTTGATGTGCCATAATAAATGCCACATATCTCTCTAACATTCCCACGTTCGGCTCAGCCAATCAAAATTGACATACCTATTTTCTCTGTCATCTGACCATAAGGTCAACCTCAGAAGGTCTGAGTCAAATACACTGGCAAATATGTAATAAAAATAATAATCTGAAACTATTATTTAACAAAAACAATTTACCCATTGCAACATGAGTCTGCCCAAAAGTTGTCTACTGGCATAAAAGTGCTCAATGCCATAAGAAATGGCAGAGCTTAAATATTAATTCAAAAACCAGGTAGGCAGTGGCTGCACACAATCTTCCGGCAGCCATTTTTCGGATTTAATCCATTTCCCATGATATGATGTTGCATACTCCCTCTCTTCTGGGGTCGTCTTGACCACTGCGCCAAATAAGCACAAATGTTGTATATCCTTCCTCGTTGGAAATGAATGTTGGTTGACGGTTTTCAGGCGATCATAATAAAGTTGTCTTCCTCTTTTTCTTCTCTCGGCCGGGTGATCGTTTTGCTCGTAGGGTAAATGGGAGCTTCAACAAAAGGGATTTTAAAGTTATCTTTTTTATTAAACACGTCGACGTGTACATTTTTAACCAGCCAGTGGGGGCACTATCCACCCCACTGGCAAGACCGCGAGACAAGATTTTAATACGTCCACATTGTTCGACATGCAAATCTTAACATCCTGAAATCACTTTTTATCTCTCTAACCTTCCCACGCCTGTTTTAACCAATTAAAAATTACTTCCTTTGTTTTGTCTACCATCTGACCTTAAGGTCAAAATGAGGAAGTCAGTGGAAAATATTTCTTTTCTTTTTATGTGCCGTGTCCTTTCAGGACGTTGGCGATCATGGCTCTCCACTTCCCTCTTTTCCTTGCAGCTCTCAACAAGTCCCGACCCACTGCCACCTCCACAAAATCACATTCTGTCATCAACTTAAGCCCCGCTAGGTATGTCACGCGTTGATTTCCCTTCTCTTACTTGCCCTCTATTCGACCCGTGAGTATCAGATTCTCCAGGTTCTCTTTCCTCATTACGTGTTCCAAGGAACTTCAGCTGCCTCCACCTGATCTTAAATATAAGCCTCCTCCTTGTTTGAATCCTCTGCAAGACCTCATCGCTCAGTCTATGATATCCTCAGCATCCTTCTGTAGAACAGCATCTCCGTCACCTCGAGTCTCTTCTTCATCTTTGAGGAGACCCTCCAACATTGGCTACCGTAAAGGAGGACATATGTCACGCAACATCTCAGTATTCTTTCTTTGTTACCAAAGATATTCCCCCTGTCTCGCAATACTCTGCCAAGCTTTTGGAATGTGTCTTTGGCCATCCCGATACGTCTACGGATCTCAGTGTCGCCTTTACCATCCTCTGTCAGAACGCTTCTGGGAGATTTAAACTTTCGCGTCTGCTTGATTCTAGTCTTCCCGACCTGCAAATCTCATTTCGGGCTCATCCTCTTACTGATGACCATGCATTCTATCTTCTTGTAGTTTATGCTTAGTCCTTTCTTCTCGCTCTCCTTCGCTAAAATTCTTTAAAAAATAATAGTCTGCCCTATTATTATTTAACACTCTGTCTTCACCCCATGTATATCTTTTCGATTATACTGCATTTTTTATCTTTCATTCTTTTTCCTTCATTTTTCATTCTTTTTTTTTCATTTTTCTTCTTTCATTTTTTCCTCCATTTTTCATTTTTTTATTCATTTTTTATCTTTCATTCTTTTTACTTCCTTTTTCATATCTCAATCTTTTGCCTTCAAATTTTTTTCTGTTTCCTTCATTTTTCATTATTTTTTTTTTCATTTATCATTTTTCATTCTTTTTCCTTCATTTTTCATTCTTTTATTTTTCATCTTCATTTTTCCCCTCGTTTTTTATTTTTTCATTTATTTTCATCTTCTATTTTTTCCTTCATTTTTCATTCTTTTTTATTCATTTTTCATCTTTCTTTCATTTCTTTTCTTTCTTTCTTTTGTTTTCTCTTTCTTTGGTATAGTCTTTCTTTTCTCTTTTTTTCTTTTGTTTTGTCTTCTCTCTTTCTTTCTTTCTTTTGTTTTCTCTTCTTTCTTTCGTTTTAGCGTTTTTTTTTCTTATGTTTTCCCTTTTTTTCATAACCTTTTATCAATTTTAACTCCTTTTTTATTCTTTTTATTTTCCTTTTCCTTTTTCATTCTTTTTTTATAGCATCTTTACCCTTTCTTTCATTTTCGTCTCTTTCATCTTCCTCCCTTTATTTTTACTTTCTTTCTTTCTATCTTTCTTTCTTTTCTCCTTCTTTGATAATCTTTTATGATATTTTTACTTCTTTTTTATTCTTTTTTCATAACATTTACTACTCTTTCTTTCATTTTCCTCTTTTTCACATTTCTTTCTTTCTTTCTTTCTTTCTTTCTTTCTTTCTTTTCCTCCGCTTCTACTTTCTTTATTTCTTATTTATTTCTCTATCTTCTTTTTTCTTCTATACTTCTTCATCTCGCATTTTCCCCACAAGAATACTTGTTTTTTCCATTACACTCACATCTTTTTTTTCCTTTTTTTTTTCCTAAAATTCTTCTTCCAACCTATTTGCTTCGAAAACAAGCATTACGTATATCTTAAATATATCTCTTTTTTTCAACGCCTGCTGTTTGCCACGACGCAGAAGAACTAGAGATGTAACATTAAGTAACTGCTAAATTTAGATTTGACTAACACAAACTCACATAGTAACTGTCGAAAAACATGTTATATCTTATATTTAGCTGACAAGTCTGGCACAAGGGCATAGTATAAAGCATTCATTATAATCAAACATGTTTAGTATTAAAGATTGGTCATACGAGGTAGTAAAAATATTTTAGTCTTGCAAAAGACAATTGGTCAAAATTAACAATATATTTATTATTTGTTCACCAATTTCTTCTGATCAAAAAGCGATCATTCTTTTTTTTTATTATTACAGATTGTTTAACTTGAGGAAGACCATAGAATAGATCGGCCGAGAATTCATACGTTGCTCAATGAATGCTGATGATAGATCTATTAAATGATTAACAGAGAGAAGTTTAGTTTTGGAGCCGTTAAAATTGACATCCCATCTTTTGCCCTAGTTAACGACGATCTAGGGATCGTTTTGCTCATTCCGAAAAGGTCAAAATGGCAGCTGATGTGCAAAACGATCCCAAGACCGTCGTTAATAGGGCAAAAGATGGCTTGTCAATTTTAACGGCTCCAAAACTAGACTTCTCTCTGTTAATCATTTAATCGACCTTCCATCAGTATGGCTTATGCTAACCTCCAGGAAATTGGATCATTGCGCCATCTCGGGCTGACATTCTCAGCTGACATGAAATTGAAATACTATATTGGATCCATTGCTAGGTCCGCTGCCACGAAAACCACTTCAGCATCTCTGCGGAATCTCTCTTACATATCTATAAGTCTACCATTAGTCCATGTTTAGAATAGTACTGCCATATATGGTCCGGTGTCCATGCGATTTAACGAATTTTCCGGCTTACACGCTTTTGCGGCTTGGAAGACGCACCCTAATATTGGAAAAAAATTTCTAAGGAAAAAAAAAAAGTCATTCTCATACAACAACACATTCACCATGCGTGCCTCATATACAGGCGCCATGTATTGTTTACATTACCCACTCGTCCGATCTGTTTGTATGGCATTGACATACTAGTCAATAGCAGAAAAGTTCCCACCGCTACTAGTAAGCAGAGCATGTTTAAGTTTGTGGCTCGGCTCCAGGAAGATTTATAGTCTTGGAAATACATGTAACAGCTAAATACTAAGGTTACATTATATATAAGGCTGATTTGGATAGCTGACATTATAGTGTCAACATACGTCCCTATCGGTCAAGCCAATACTAGCTGACTTGGCGTTGCTTTACATTCGTCTTGGAAGACTCTTTTACTTCTTCAGGGTATTTTTAGGGAAAAAAAACGTATTGTAAGCTGGAAAATATGGTACACGGAGCTACTTGATCCAAAGAAGAATCAGCAATATTATTGGTTCTGATCTGGTGGCTCGGCTTCAGTCACTTGTCCACCGCTCTAAGGTTGCCTCTCTGTGCCTTTTTATAAATACTTTCATGGTAATTGTTCGGATGAGTTCTTTCCTATGGTACCTAGATTCTATGAATTTAAGCGCAATAGAAGGGCTTACTGTGAGGGCGCATCAATTTACAGTTGAACTTGCTAGATGTAGCCGTAACTTCTACGCTGTTTGCCGCTCCATTCTTTAATGTCAATCGTTATCTACTGTCCTCCTCATTGCTCTTTTCTCTTTCTACTCATTACTAAAGTTTCTGTTCCTAACTGTGCCACACCCTGTAAAGACTTGCGTCTTAGTGTCTGTTCGGCATTTCGTGGGGTGACAGCGATTAAAAAAAAGAAAAAGAAATAAAGAACGGCTGAGAAGGTCATTCGTTCATCGACAATACGACCCCAGCCGGACTTGGGATTGATGCTGCTGCTGCTGGTGATGATTATTTTGGCCTAAGGCCGTATAAAAGGGGGCGCCAAGTATTGATCTGGAAATATTATGAGTTGTTTACTACCTGCTGGATTAATTTTTTTTTTTAAATTAACCATTGACTTTTACACGGGTTTCTTTCCGTTATTTGGCAAACGCGTCTCCTTAGAAAACTTATACAAAAAAAAAAAAATGTCTTCCACACAAAAGATTCATTTGCCAAATTTCTTTTATACCGGAAATTTCGGGTAGCGTTCTTCAGGGCAGTCTGTCGGAATGGTCCACAACCGTGCCAGAGAGAGGATTGCTGCCAATTCTTTGCAAGCCAAAATCTTATTTTCTGACCTTTTTTGAACTATTTTGATGGCAGATGTTAAATTGAAAGAATATTTATTTCATTCTTTTATGAAACATTGTGTTTTTCTTCTTTTTCTGGGCGATTAAATTATCCGATAGAAATTCAGTAATTTTTTTTAATCGATTATAACACACATATACACACACGGGCGCACAGACACATGCAGTCACACAAATATATATATATATATATATATATATATATATATATATATATATATATATATATATATATGAATTTACTGTATTGGGCAGCAGATCATTATTTAAACATGTATTAAAATATAGCAGACAATGAATGTCTTTTATGCCTGAATTTTTATTAGACATTTTATTATAAGAAAAAAAAAAAGCATTTTATGATTAAATTTTGCTCTCGTCAAAATATACTCCTTTAGCTTTGATTACTGCAGCACGACTTTTTCATTGCAAAAGTTTCTAAAAGTATAAGTTTGATAAGTGATTTGATTCTTTTTTCAATGATTCTAAGAAGTCTTTTACATTTTTTTTTCATTGTTGACTCTTCTGTCAAGTTCATCCAATGCTTATTCTGACTCAAAAATTTTGAACTGTAGTATACATATCTATCTATCTATCTATCTATCTATCTATCTATCTATCTATAAATATATATATATATATATGTATGTGTGTGTGTGTGTATGGGTGTGTGTGAAAAGTGTGTGTATATAAATATATATATATATATATATATATATATATATATATATAATTATTTATATATTATATGCACGATTGAGCTAACATTTGGTTGGATTGATGTGAGTTTGTGACCCTGGATTTCAGCGTGAAACCCAGGGTCACAAACTCACATCAACAAATATATATATATATATATATATATATATATATATATAAGTGAAAGGTTTTTCTTTTAAACTGTCTGTATTACATCTATCGCTATGGGTATCCGAGAGATCCTATTAAAGAAAATGTACACTCCGACAGAAATCGAACAAGTGTTCTCCTATACCGTTGTTTAAGTCGGTGCCGTCTTACTCTCAACAAAGATTTTCACTTAACATTAGAACCAAAGAAAATACGTTTGATCCTCCAGCTGATCTTCACTTACCAAAAACAAAAAACAAAAACAAAAATGGGCCAATCCTCATATTAATCTTCACTTAACATTACTGCAAAATGGGAGCGATCTTCTAAATGATCTTCAGTTAACATTACAACAAAAAAAGCGATCCTACAGCTGATCATCACTTAAAATTACAGCAAAAAACGTGCGATCTTCCAGTTGATCTTCACTTAACATTACAGCAAAAAACAAGCCATCCTGGTCTGATCTTCACTTAACATTTCAGCAAAAAGCAAGCGATCATCCAGCTTATCTTCGCCTAACATTACAGCAAAAAGCGAGCAATCCTCCAAATGATCTTCACTTAAAATTACAGCAAAAAGCGTGAGATCCTGGTCTGATCTTCCCTTAACATTTCAGCAAAAAGCAAGCGATCCTCCAGCTGATCTTCACCTAACATTTCAGCAAAAAACGAGCGATCCTCCAGTTTATCTTCACTTAAACTTTCAGCAAAAAGTAAGCGATCCTTCAGCTGATCTTCACTAAAAATTAACGCCCCACCCAAAAAAAAAAAAAAACAACACGAGCCAATCCGCTAATTATTCTTCACTTAACATTACAGCAAAAAGCGAGCGATCCTCCAGATGATATTCAGTTAACAATTCAGCCAAAAAGAGCGAAGCTTCTGCTGATCTTCACTTAACATTACAGCAAAAATCGAAGGATCCTTAAGTTGGTCTTCAAATGATTCCACTGCAATTGGAACTCCTATATACAATATGTAGATAATGGTAATTCTTTTAAAAAAAATCAATTTCTTTATAAAGAAGTATTCGGCAGCGCCATGCTAGTTTGAAATTTATAAAATCTTTCTATCAAAACAATATTACAAGAAAATCTTTATTTATGTGCCGTGTCTCTTCAAGTTTTAGGCGACAATGGCCCTCCATATCTTCTTGTCAGTTGTAGCTCTTAATAAGTTTTGTCTTTTTGTTTTTTTTCTCCCAAACCCTGTTCCACCATCGATTTAATCAAGCTCATCAAGTATGATACGCGCTGATTTCATCTCTCCCTCTCACACTTCATCTGTCCACTGAATATCAGATTTTTCAAGTTCTCTTTCCATATTAACTGCCACAGAAATTTCAACAGTCTCTTCCTGATGTTATTTATGTTTCCTTTTTGTTTCCATTTTTTCTAAAACCTCATTGTTGTTCACATGTTCGGTTCATGGTATCCTCAGTATCCTTCTTTAGAACCACATTCCTTTTCATATTCATTGAGTGTCAACATCTTGATTATTTTATGATCAAGATATAAGCGATTGTTCCTCCATGTGATCTTCACTTAATTTTACAGTTCTGCAGCTAAACTTCACTTAACATTACAGCAAAAGACGGTCGTTCCTCAAGCTGATCTTCGCTTAATATTACAGCAAAAACCGAGATATCCTCCAGCTGATATTCACTTAACATTACAGCAAAAAAAAAAAAAACGAGCGTTCCTCCAGCTGACCTTCACTTAAGATGACAGCAAGAAATGAGCCAATCCTCCATCTGATCTTCACTTAACATTACCGCCAATTCTGCTGCTGATCTTCACTTAACATTACTGCAAATAATGAATGATGCTCCAGATGATCTTCACTTAACACTACCTCAAAAATGTGCCAACCCTGCAGCTGATCTTCATTTAACATTACTGCAAAAGACGGCCGTTCCTACAGCTGATCTTCACTTCACATTATCGACCGTTGTACGCTACGGCCTTCTTAAGATGAGTAGGATTAAGAACTGAACCCTTTATTTCGTCTGCCGGTGTAGATTAGGATTAAAGCAAAAAATGAGCCAATACTGCAGCTGATCTTCACTTAACATTAGAGCCAAAAATAAGCTAATCCTCCAGCTGAACTGTTACAGTTTTTTTGTGTGTATGACATGTAACTAGTGAGTTAGTCAAAATGAGTTAACTCCCTTTATAGTCTACCAATGAAAGATTAACCAATCAGAAACCGCAGAACATTGTATCCGTCGTGTATAAAGGCGGACATTTTTTGTTTACACTACCCGAATGACCAGTGCCAACTTGTCAGGCGAAGATGACAGAAGGAAGTACTACTGTCTCCGAAATATTCACTGCTAACCTCTGGATTCTATACTCGAAGACGACCGTCAAAATGTCTAACATGAACTTCACTTAACATTACAGCAAAAGACGACCGTTCCTACAGCTGAACTTCACTTATCATGACAGCAAAAAACAAGTGATCCTCCGGCTGATCTTCACTTAATATTACAGCAAAAACGAGCGATCTTCCAGCTGATGTTCACTTAACATTACAGCAAAAAAATGAGCCCATCCTCCAGTTGATCTTCACTTCACATTATCGAACGTTGTACGCTCCGGCCTTGTTAGAGTGAGTGGGATTTTGAACTGAACCCTTTATTTCGTCCGCCGGAGTAGATTGTTGTAGTTCAATGTACATTGCGTAGTTCTGATGTCTCAATATAAATGATCACCCTTTTAACTCATCTCTCTATTTTCTCGTTCACATCAGTTTTACTTGGTGCTGTTTTTGAAAGTCCACAAATGATACCGCTTTCTTTTTTGTTATTCAGCAATTCTTTATGAATCTGTAGTGTCAGTCCATGTTGAAACTTGACTAATACATGGAATAATAATGCAACACAAAATGTACTTAGAACAAAATGTATTGAAACAAGAAAGTGTACACAATATTTACATATAGTCTTTTGTATATTCCTGGTAAGACCGTTCCTGAAGAATGTGTTGACTGAGTCTCTGGTTGAATCTCTTGATTCCTCCCTCTCTTCCCGGTACCAACCATATAAATATGGTCGGTACTCCACTATGCAAATTAGGTGGATCCTACCACAACAGTCCACAAAATCTGTAGAAGATGTGGTCGTCGCCGATATCTACAGGTTTAATTCGAACGAAATGATTTTTAATCATCGATGTGAGAAAGCGGGTTGACTACCGTTGATAATTTCGATATTTCTGACAATGCAATTTAAGAAAATGACAAGAGACTTCAAGTAATTGTTTTGGGTTTTGCAGCAATTGGTGGTATTGTCGGAAACTACCTCTCGCATAGCCAGTTCTAGGTTCAGTTTTTTTTGTTATCTCCCTTGCTAGATTTGCTAAAACTGAGCCGTACACCAAGATATTTGAAGTGTTTGGTATTTACGAAATAAGATGCTGGAAAAAGAGAAGATTCTTTGCATTTTACCAAAAAAGTAACAGATTTCTCCTGTCATACTCTATCTTTCCAAGACCTAGACCAGACTAAGAATATCGCTGCCACATCTGGGATGGAGATGCCCAATGGTCACTTATCAGCCTTGAGAGTTTTAAAAGAGTGAGCCCGGCTTTAGGTGTGATTCCGCCTTACAACTCCATTCACCGCAACCCCATTTTCCACCTTACGACCCCATTCAACGCTACCCCATATTCCGCCTTACAACCCCATTCAACGCTACCCCATTTTCCGCCTTACAACCCCATTCAACGCTACCCCATTTTCTGCCTTACAACCCCATTCAACGCTACCCCATATTCCGCCTTACAACCCCATTCAACGCTACCCCATTTTCTGCCTTACAACCCCATTCAACGCTACCCCATTTTCCGCCTTACAACCCCACTCACCGCAAACCCATTTTCCGCCTTACAACCCCATTCAACGCTACCCCATTTTCCGCCTTACAACCCCATTCACCGCAACCCCATTTTCCTCCTTACAACCCCATTCAACGCTACCCCATTTTTCCGCCTTACAACCCCATTCAACGCTACCCCATTTTTCCGCCTTACAACCCCAATCACCACAACACCATTTTTCTGCATTACAACCCCATTCACCAGAACACCATTTTTCCGCCTTACAACCCCATTCACCACACTCCCATTTTTACGCCTTACAACCCCATTCGCCATAACCCTATTTTTCGCCTTACAACCCGATTTATCACAACCCCATTTTCCCGCCTTACAAACACAGATATATTATTGATAGCTTGTCCCTACTCAATATTCATGACAGATGTTCAGACGAACAACCCTTTATCGGTTCTACCAATCCAGATATTCACAGGTTGGTACCGATAGGTCACGAACTCTAAGTTTAATTATTATTGTTTCTTTCACTATTTACATTGTTCGGACTTTTGTCCTATTCTTTGTTTGCCATATTCACGATGTTTCGACCGTTGTACACTTCGACCTTCTACAGTTGTCTGGAATTTCGAAATGAACCATTTAGTTCGTCTGCCGGATTGGATTGTTCTAGTGCCACATGCCTTGCCTCTTCCGGATATCTTCTCGGCCAGAAATATGCCCATTGAACCCGTATAAACTTCGGACTGAACAGTATTTAGTCACCCCCCCCCGCCACGAGGGCAGCATGTGGCACAAGGCAGAGAGTTCAACTGATCAGCCTGTCAGCCGGTCGCCCGACTTTGGACTGAATTCTCTGCTTCCTTTTAAGGCGCAGTATTTATTACGCATAGAATAGTCCATTGTTATTATGGGTAAGATCCCATAACAGTATGAATG